CCTGCGCTCCTGGCTGCCCCTGGGCAACGACTACATGATCATCAACTACAGCGTCAAGCACCCGGTGAGCCCCCCACTGCCCCCGGTGCTGGCAGGGGTGCCAGCAGGCACGGGCAGGGCTGGGCAGGCTCTGAGGGGCAGGGGATCTCTCTGCAGAATTACCCACCCCGGAAGGATTTCGTGAGGGCCGTGTCCCTGCAGACGGGTTACCTGATCAAGGCCAACGGCGCCGGTGCCTGTGTCCTCTATTACCTCACCCAGGTGGACCCTCGCGGTGAGTGCCAGCGGGAGGGGAGGGGGCACCGTGCCCAGTGTGCCCCCAGAGCTCACCCGCTGGCTCTCCATCACTCTGGGGAGTGGGGACAACCCAAGGAAGAGGGGGGTCCCTCCCCCATCAGCCCTGGGGTTGCTCAGGCTGGCACAGAGCACTGCAGGCTCACAGTGCCTCCCCTGGGGCTGGCCCTGCTTGCCCGAGTGACGGGGCTTTGGGCTCTTGCAGGGTCGCTGCCAAAGTGGGTGGTGAACCGTGTCTCCCAGTTTGTGGCACCGAAGGTAAGCAGGGTGCGTGGCTGGTGGTGGGATGCACAGGCAGCAGGGATGAGCCGCCCCTAAGAGCCCCTGGGTAGGGGCAGGATGGGTGGTGGATGACCCAGAGCCCACAGAATGGGTGCTGGGTGACACACGGTTCACAGGACAGGTCCTAGGTGACCCAGAGCTCATGAGACAGGTACTGGGTATCCCAGGGCTCACAGAACGGGTACTGGGTGACCCAGAGCTCACAGGATATACCCTAGGTGACACACAGGATGTATCCTGGGTGACACACAGGATGGATACTGGGTGACCAAGGCTCACAGAGGGGGTGCTGAGTGACCCAGGGTTCCCAGGACGGGTGCTGAGTGACCAGGGCTCACAGGATGTGTTCTCTGTGACACACAGGATGGGTGCTGAGTGACCCAGGGCTCCCAGGACAGGTGCTGGGTGACCAGGGCTCCCAGGATGTGTCCTGGGTGACACACAGGATGGGTGCTGGGTGACACTGGGCATGCTGGGTGACACTGGGCATGCTGCTGGGGCTCTGTGCTCCAAGCCAGGCCCACATCCCCTCCCAACACCCCCAAAAACCAGCAGTGGGGGAGCTGGGAGCCGGGGCTTCATCCCCAGATCCACTCTGCCCGCAGGCCATGAAGAAGATCTACAAGGCTGGGCTGAAGTACCCGGAGTGGAAACGCAAGCACGACCCCGAGTACAAGCCCTGGGTGTACCCGGAGCAGAACACCCTGCCCAGCGTGAGCCTGGCCGAGCTCTCGGTGCAGCACGCCGACTCCCTGGAGAACATCGACGAGACGGGGCTGTCCGAGGACCACCTGAGCACCAGTGACCACGAGGCCTGAGCCCTCTCCACGGGCTCTTGTGGGGGGACACCCTCCAGACCGAGGCTTGGCAGCCAGGGGGCACGGGTGGGAATTTGGCCCCGTGCCCCCCAGTAGGCAGATCTGCTCTCCAACTCCATCGTAGACCCCCCTACCCGGGCAGCAGGGTGCTGTCCCATGGGAATCTGAGTCACAAAATGCTGGAAAGAGGGAGGATGGGCACCCTGGTGCCCCCTGTGCCCATGGAGATGTCCCCACAGGAGGTAGTGCTGGCAGTGGGAGTGGGTGCCCCAAGGAGAGGCTGGGCAGAGCAAGAGAGGGGGAACCCTTCACGGAGTGAATAGGAGCTTTCCTGGCATCAGGATATGCCTCTCCCATGTTGAGATCTTCCAAGGGTGTCCCTCAAAGGTCCAGAAGTGGGGGGCTGTGGGGGCTCTGCTCAGGCTTTGCAGCAGCACAGAGCTTAGATTGACCTGCTCTGGCCCAAGGTCTGCCACAGCCAAGGTCAGGCTGGACCCACTGCAGCCCCACCACCCTTTGTGTGACCCCTTCACCTCAGGGAGCCCTCCCAGGTCCTCTCCTGAGTGCCAGGCTCGCCTCTGCAGGCTGGCTCTAGCCCAGCTGGCTCTGGGGACCCCTCCCTCAGGTGGTGTTTGGGGGGGCTTGTCCTGGCAGTGGGGGCCTGGGCAGCCTGTGTCCCCACTCTCCCGGTGTTTGCCGCTGCTGTGGTTTCTGGCACAACAATAAAGGGGTTGGTGTGTGTGCGAGAGAGCGTCGGGCTGGCACGGGATGAGGTTGGCACCGAGCCCACCCAGAGGCTGTGCAGGTGCTTGGTGTGGGTGGGACAGGAGGGTTGGTCCATCCAGCACCCCGGGGTGACCCTCAGCAGGGAGCGGGGTGGCCACGGCAGGGCAGGACAGACGGATGCCGGGCTCTGCACCCCTGTGTGCGCGTGGGTGAGGCTGTGTGGGCACGGGGCAGCTCCCACCAACGGGAAGTTGGTCTAGACAGACACTGCTGTGGGAATACGCTGACAGATGAGGGATTTTCCACCCTCTATTCGCCCCCACACTCCGAGGCTGCCCGTGGCTGCTGGGCTCCTGCAAATGGGGCCATCACTGATGATGGTGCTGGGTTGCTCAGCTCCAGATCTGTCCCACAAGGTAAAAACTGGGGGACACGGCCAGGATGTCACACAGCCAGCACATGGGGGACAGTCAAGGCAGTGGTGTGGGACAACCCCCTGGCAGCACCCAGGGCTTGCAGCCTGCCCAGAGCCACCTGTGTCCTGCAAGGATGTCCCTGCTGAGCCCCTGCCTTTATGGCTTTTGGGGCCTCTCTGACCTGGCTCGTGCTCACTGGTCCCCCTGACCTGCTGTGAGTTGTGAGTGCCACTGCCCTGTCCATGCTTTCCCCACACCTGGAGCCTTTCTGATTCATCCAGACACCCACTCCAGCATCCCGGGTGTGGATGTTCACTGTTCCCCCTTTAGCCACCCCCTTGGGTCACGTTGTGTCCCCTGTGCTGCCTCAGGGGGACAGCACTCACATACAGAGTGCTGGGGAGGGGACAGGAGGTCCTGGCTGTCGGGACAGTCGGCTCCCACGGCTTGCAGCTGGGCTGGCTGCACGGCCACCTCCGCAAGGAAAACGAGGAAAACCCAAGGGCAGCAGATGTGCAGCTCCCTCCTCCCGGTGCTCCGGGTTCCTGGCGAGGGGAGCAGCCCCCCATTCCTCATGCTGCTCCCACCATGGTGGCAGACGGAGGGCACCCTCAGCAGGGACGATTTTACCTGTGAGAACACATATCTCAATCCCAAATCGCCCCCAAAACACTTTGAAAAGCTGTGCTCTGCGGCCGGAGCAAGGGCATTAAACTCCCTCATGGGGCAGAGCCCGCTGGCATCCCGAGCCCTCGGGGTAATGGGGTGAAGACCACCCCTGACAGCCCCAGTCCTGCAGGAAGCAGCCTCATCCCACCTCATTCCCCGGATGTTTCTCTGCAGGATCAGGCTGCAGCTCTGCCGTGGGGTTATTTTTAGCCAGCCCTGAGTGGGTGTGAGGAGCTGCTGCCTGAGCACCGAGAGCCCGGCGGGGAGTCCCTGCTCCCCAGCCAGCCCCAGGGAATGCTGTGCCGGCACGGGTGACACCTCAGCCCAGGATGTGGCCCAACATGACCGGAATGGTGGTGGCACGGGGAGAAGAAGGGCTGCTGGGGTGGCAGGGACACGGGTCCACATCCAGCATTGAGCTGTAGCGGAGCTCCTGGCCCCCAGCATCACCCCGGCCAGGGAGCAGGGGGAAATTCGGGGGGCTGGGGAGGCGGGGGGCTGCCTCTCCAGCAGCCCCAGTGCGGGGATTCCTTTCCGATTGATGTGCCACCGCCGGGTTTCCTGTGGCACAAACAGGAAGGGGGCCGGGCACTGGTGTCCCGAGCGAGGGAAGGGGCAGGCAGGGGGTGGGGGGCTCCGAGCCCCCCCGGCTGCCTCCTGGGGATTCTGGGGGAGCGGGTGGCCCACGGCCCAGTGGGGCGAGGGCCAGGCATGTGGGGGCTGCAGCCCAGCAGGACAGCCCAGCTGGACGGCTTTTCCTGCCTGGCCCCGAGCGGAGAGGAGCCGCCCGCGCGCACAGATTGGAAAGGAAACGGGAAGCTGCTGCTGGACGAGAGATTAGCCCGGAGGCAGTGATGTCAGCCCTGATGGATGGGGGGCAGGGGCAGCGTGGCATGGGCCCCCCGTCCTGGCCACACGCGGTGTCCAACGTGCCCCGGCTGGGGGAGGATGAGACTCCATCCCTGGATCTCCTGATTTGCACCTCCTGAGCTCATGGATAGGTCTTGGGCAGCCCTTGGCCCCACCACCCACACCGGGACCCTGAGCTCAGCAAGGAGCCCCCCTGCAGCCCCTCTTACCTCATGGACTGACCTTCAGCTGGGCTCCAGCAGGTTTCCAAGCCCAACAACTTCAAGCTTCCCTCTCCCCACTCCTCCACCAAGCCCTCCCCGAGGCTCAGCTCTCAGCCATGCCCTGGCAAAGCCCCCAGGCTCAGACCCCACCCCACATTTCCAGCTGTTAAATGTGACATTTACCCTCTAGGTATGAGCTTTGAGTGTCCCTCACCCCAGCCTGCTCCCAAGAGATGCTCCCACCATCACCCCACACATCCCCCAGCACGATCCAGCATGGGCAGGGCTGAAGGGAAAGCAAAAGTTGCTCCAGGGTGCAGTGAAAGCTGATGGCTAGGGGTGGATGGATGGATGGATCAATGGATGGATCGATGGATGGATGGCTAGAAAAAGACAAGGAGGAAGGGGGGAGGGAGAGAGAGGAAGGGAGGGAGCAAGGGAGGGAGGGAGGGAGGAAAGAATGGATAAAGAGATGGATGGATGAGCATCTGGACATGTGGACCTTGAGGGACAGTGTTATCCTGGGTACTGCCTGGAAAGGTGAAGGAGCACACAGGCCTTTACCCTGGAAGGATCTAACCTTCACTTTGATGTTAGCTTCCTCCAGCCCTTGCCAGCATCTTCCCAAAGCCCAATCCCTCAGCCCTAGGGGTGTTTTCTGATCCTGCCCATTTGCTTCTTCCAGGGAGCAGGCAAGACCTTCCTGCTCTGCGAACACCACAGCCCAGGGCTATGGTGTCACCACCACCTGGTGACCCAGGGCTCTCTACCTCTGCCCAAGGATGCCGCTGTCTAAATATAGATCCCATCAGCAGGATGGCAAACCCTGGCAGAGGCTTTGAAACCTGTGCTGCAGAAAGTGGGGCTGGTAGGTCAGGGAGGGGATCCTGCCCCTCTGGCCAGCCCTGGGCAGGCACATCTGCAGGGCTGGGCCCAGCTCGGGCTCCTCAGCACAGCAGGGCCAGGGAGCTCCTGCAGCGGGGCCAGCGCAGGCTGCGGAGATGCCCAAGGGCTGGAGCAGCTCTGGGAGCAGCAAAGGCTGAGGGAGCTGGGGCTGTTCAGCCTCCAGAGCAGAGCCTGAGAGGGGCCCTCCCCAGGCTGTGTCAGGGGCTGCAGGGAGGGGGCAGAGGCTGGAGCAGGCTCTGCTCGGGGGGCCCAGCAATGGCCCAAGAGGAACGGGCAGGAACTGATGCCCGGGAAGTTGCAGCTGGACAGGAGGAAGAACTTCTTTGCTGGGCAGTGACCCAGCCCTGGAGAGAGAGCAGAGAGGGTGTGGAGTCTCCTCATTGGAGATATTCCAGAGATGTCTGGAGACAATCCTGCGCCTTGTGCTCTGGGATGGCCCTGCTGGATCAGGGAGGCATTGTGGCCCCTTCCAACCTGACTCATCCTGGAATTCTGTCTCTGGAGGTGCTGCTGGGGGCTCAACAGTGGTGACCCAGGATCTAGCCCCACTCAGGACTTCACTGGTGCCAATGCCTCCAGCAGGGCAGGATGGAAGTGGTGACACATCATCTGTCACCAGCACTGCCAGCACCCTTTGCTCCATCCCTCCTGCTCACACCACAGACCTCAGCAACCTTCCCACGAGCAGCGGTGCCAAACAGCTTCCTCTGAGAGGCAGGGGGAGGGCACGGTCTGCAGTGCAGGGCCAGAGGGTCCCTGCACACCCTCAGGGTCCCTGTGCACCCTGTCTCCACACCCCACCTGCAAGGTGGTCCAAGGGGCCACCCATGCCATCCCCAGCCCTGGGGATGTGCCACTCCCTGCCGGAGCAGCTGGCAGGGAAGGGGGAGGAAGGCAAAAGCTGTGCCAAACTCGTGCTGAATTCTGCTTCTGCTTTGTAGGAGCAGCCTGTGATAAGGAGAACCTGCCTTTCCTGCATGCAGAGAGGCTTGTACAGGGTGGCCCTCCCACACCAGGGGCTCCCAATGTTCCCAAACCCCTGCAGTGGCTTTTGGGGGCATCACTGGGACAGGAAAGGACCGGCTTGAGCTGGAGTAAGGGTGTCCTCAGATCTGGACCCTCCAGGGCAGGGGGAGGTTATCAGCTGTGGCATCAGGAGCGGAGAAGGGTGTTGTGAGATACCAGGCTCGGACATCCTTTGTGTGCAAGGTTGGGTAAGGGCAGAGCCAGACAAACTGCCAGCCCTACTGGGGCTCTTGTGAAAAGTGCTTTCTTAAAGGCAGCTGGGCCAGTCCATGGTGAAAGCTCAGGTTCCTTGCAGGAGAGAATCCCTCTGGACATCCTTCTTCCACCCCAGCCCCTGCTGTTATCCCGGCTGTGGCTCACTCCACATCCCCCTTGCCATGGGGCACCAGGAGTAGGATGGGGTGCTGCACCCCCAGCCTCCCTGCAGCTCAAGGGAGGTTTTGATGTTCCCAGCCAGCCCCAGTGCCAGTCCTCCCAAGTGCCCTCAAGAGCATGAACAGTTTTCCCTCTTTCCTCCCACTTGGCAGCACCTTCCCAGCAGCTGCACCCTTCCCAGTCCTGTGCCATGGCAGGGACAGTGAATATCTCCTCTTGCCTCCAGCCAGGGACAGAAACAGCAGATGGAGCTGAATACATCCAAGAACTTCAGAGATATCCCTCGGCAGCACATCCTTGGAGTGTGGGTCTCAGGGAATCCTGGTCCCCC